AAGTGACTGATGCAAATATTTTCACCCAAATCCTAAGAGTCAAAGACTTCCAATAAGTTGTACCTTTGTATAAAAGTCATAATTCTAGAGACAATTTTGTTACTCCAACAGGTATATCTTATATTAGAACAGCATTTTGACTAAGAAAATCTCATCAATAATGTCACCAACATTTTTCTTCCATTGTATCATTTCAGTAAACATCAGAGATGAATCTACCTGTGTTTATGCCTCTTTTGATACATGTTATACTTCCTTGATTAATAAACATACTCAGTTTACTTAACTTATCAAATTGCCTAAGCCCATCAGGTATATAGCAACATCTTAGAATGAAAATGAGTCATATAATAGGTTTGACCTGTACTCTGCAGAATTTATAGATAGGCTTTATTATTTCCAGAAACTTGGTTGCAATTGGACAGTACTCCTTCCTCCATAAAGTATTTATACATGGAAAAATGTGTCTGAGACTGTGATAATAATGATAACTAATGTTGATAAGAAAGATGACTTCACTATTTTTCAAAGTATAATTGTTAATATGTATATTCATGGATTACTTGTATGATTAAAATTAAAGATAAAATGGGGGCATAATATGCATTTGTATTATTTTTTCTGAAAAGAGGGAAGTGATTACTTTCCCTAATAAGGAATATGGAGCCTGCATGGTGGGTATTTTGACCCTCGATGCAAATGGATTGCGTTTGAAGTAACTGAAGAGCTTTTAAAATGTTGTTGTTTCATCTTTTATTAAATAATTTTGCTAGATTTAAATATCAGTACTAATGTATTGGAGCAGCAACTGCACTTCCCTCATATTGCTGTGCTATGGATCAGTGAGGAGCTGAATTTCTACAAGCTCTTCAAATTGGCTGAGTTGTTGCCATGGTGAATCAAAAGCCTACTGAACAGGTATGTGCGTCGATTGTGCTATAAATTTCACCCAAGCAAAACATCAGATCTAGCAATCAGATAAAATTATGATATACCTGTCATAGGTATTCTGGGAAAAGAAGCAATGAAATCATTCAAATGTTAAATGATTTAAGATAAATAAAAGTCTTAAATACTCCAAAAGGCTACCTTTTGATTTACATGTGGGAAAACTAGACTTCAAAAAGTCCTTTTGTTCTGAATTAAATTGTACAGAATAATTATCAGAGGTAGATAGAAGGAATGGTAACATGGTATAAATAAAATGCCACTCAGCATGAGTCTCTATCCTTAAAGCCACCATCTAAATTTTTAGATTGTCAAATGCCAACTTCCTAGAGCAGCAAACTCAAGTTCTCAAGGATGCATGGATCTGCATTGAGGCCTCCATATGGAATGCAGGGCATTCTCACTGGACCAGGTACACTGGAGACTGAGAGGGTTGGTTTCTGGCAGGAAAGTGGAAACACGATGCTGTATATTAACTTCTTGTCAACAAATCTTATGCACTATGTCTTTTCCAAAACAGTTTAATCAATAGTTCATTTATTGTCACCTAACAGTTACACTTTCTGATTTTGTGGTTTCATTGCAAGTGCCCATACAGCAATACAAAAGAACAAAGAAAATCAAATGCTGTACACATTTATAAAATTATATCAGATGACTTTTTTCTCATTAATTGCACACCTTTTAAAGACTGATCATGGGAATTGCCTTGCCTGACTATGAAATAGTGGCTGGAAATAATCTACATAAGCCTCTACATTATCAATTTAAAGCTCTTTATCTTAATACTACTTGGTTCTAAAGCCACTTTTAAAAATGTTTGCAAATTTGAGACCGAATAATCAAAGTAACTGCCTAAAAATGTAGTGTATTTTTCCTAGATAAAAGCTTATGATTTCAGGGCCTCTCCATAGAAAATTAATCCCCCGTAGTTAAGCTTTTACTTCCATTGACTTTTCAATTTAATTCGGAAATCTTGTAATAATGATATTAATGTTTTGAAGTAATCTTCCCAGCACTAATCAAAACACAGTCTGGTTCTATGTGTATGCTGACAGGTTAATTAGTGCAAGATCTCATTTGGTATTCATAAATAAGACAGAGTTTTTTTTACTTATAAGTTCCCACGGAGATTCATTTTCTATCGAGCTTTCCTGGTGTTTTCTTGAGAAAGAAGAAACAGTAACGACTGTTTTTGCTATTATTATTAAAATATGAGGAAAATCTATTTCCTCAGACTCTGGCCCCATCACTCCTTCTATCCTGACCTTCCTGTCACGTACTCATGTCCTAGAAGACAGAAGAGCCAACTCCTGAAACACAGCCCATCCCATCCCAGTACTCTGCCTTCATCTGTGGAGCCCCCAAAGGCTCTCCGGTGACCCTTTCCACTGCAAGTCTCATCCAACATCAGCCGCTCATTATTACCCGATGCTTCTTCAGGCCACACACTTTTCTAACAACGTTATTTGGATTGTACCTTGTAAAAATCCTATTTTATGAAGGAGAAAACTTTGGCTACTTACTCAACCAGGGAATGATACCTCTGTGAGTTGTAACTATATAGTGCAAATTCACACCTTAGCTCTGATATATATATATATATATATATATATATATAAACACTGAGATACATTGATTCAATAGCTTTGTGATATCAAGAGTAAAATAGCACTTTTTCGACCAGATATTTTAGTGACCACACCAACTTCTCTCTTCTTCCTGTGATCTGAGGTCCCATTCCAACTTCTTACCCCTGACAAAGTCTTGTTTTTAAACAAGGTGATACTCTTTTGATGACAGTGCTCTGAATCATTTTATGGTTTCTACAGGAAAGATTCTGAACCCTTAATAATTATTGGCTAGATGAATTAATCAGTGAAAGGATTAAATGATAGTTTAGATGGTGCCACAATGGACTTATGAAAACAATTTCATTAATTTACTTATCTTGTCTATAATTTGAAAACCATAGTGATTCCCACTGGCTATTTATTTCTTTAAAAATGTTACCTTTTTAATGTTAGATTTATGAAAGTGAGCAACTGTTTGGGCATTGTTGTTTCCAATTCATTCATTCACTCAAATGTATTGTTTGATTTTACTGAAGTAGGCAATGTAGCATTCAAAACTATTGCTTGAGGAATCTTGCTTACTGTAAACAGTCATTTGAAATAGAATCACTTCTTTATAAAACAGCTATATCAGTATAACTGATTCAATTGCTTTTCCTGCAGCTGATTCCAATTTTCTTTTCTTTTACTTTTTTGGTACATACTCATTTAGATAATATTGATCTATTTTGAGAAGAGAAAAATTAAATTATTTTATACAATTCCAAGCTAGTGAAATCATTTTTTTAGTTCTTGAAGATAAACCCATAGACAGTGTGCTTTAGTATTACTTAGAGACAACTCACATTTAATTACTCAGCTTCTTGACTGTAATCAGTGAAAAATGATTTGATTATGTGAGCTTCTTCTTATGTCATCAAAACATCATATTCTCTCCCCCTTTCTCTATATGTTGGCATTATACTTTCACAGTCCATAATGAAGTTTAACTTACTTCTAACTATATGATAATAACAACTCCCCCAAAAGTTGTAGCCACATATAAGATGTAGAATTATCAGATTAAAGATGCTTCTTTTTCCTTCCCATACTCACATTTGATACATACATTGACCCAAACTACATAATAGAGAACGAGAGACTTACTTGGAGGGTATTGATAACTTGTTGAATTCAGAACAAGGATTCTTAGGGAAACTTGGTGTTAGAATAAACACTATTTTTCCTTACAGATCCTGTAATTTAAACCTATTTATTTCAACTAGAAAAATAAAATGCAAAAACTAACCATCCAAAACGCAATTTTATTAGAATTAAGCATGCTAGACCATCTCTCAAAAGCAATTCACTTTGTACTGATTTTTCTTGAACTTCTAAGTGGTTGTTTCTGTGTTAGTGACTCAAAGCTTATATACTGAAAAAATGGCTATTAAGTACACCATGGATTATCTATCAGTGACAGAATGACTTCTTAGTAAATTATCTAGGAGCAAGACCAGAGACCCAAAAGGACATGATAGCCTTATAACTTGAATAAGAAGCTGTGTGTGTGTGTGTGTTTTAACACTTAGATCCTCATTAGGAACAGTGCATAATTATTATCTGCTGTGAAGGCAAAGGACCTCTTATGACTCTCCTTGAGGGGTTGAGGTATGACTCAGTAGACAGCTAACCAATGAGAGAAAGCATCAGGTACTGGGTTCGAGTCTGTCTTGCACCAAAAAAAACCCACTTTCCTTGAGATGTATCTTAAGAGTTAACCAAGAAGCTAGATGAATCTGCCACTTGACCCAAAGAAAATCATGGAATTTGCCCAAGTTACTCGTTAAGGTGAGGGGCTGCCCAATTAGAATGGTTTTCTTTTTCTCATCACTGTATTGCCTAGAACTTACTGGAGTTTGCAGAGGTGAAGTCTGAGAAAACCAGCAAAAGAAAAATGAAGAGCAATGATTTCTGGGATGATATTCACTCACCTCCTTCCTTTCACACACACACACACACACACACACACACACACACACACACCAGCCACCCCTTCTGTCATCTTGGGGCTGCTTGGATGCACCCTGGGCACTGTTGCCCAGAGTTGTATGGACAGATAACGACCATGCTTGTTCTGGTACAGGAAAATAATGTAGCTCTCACATCAAAGGCACAAAAGACAAGTGAGTCTGCTATCGACATGTGTGACCCCTCTCCCAACCAGCCTTCCTCTCAAGTTTAAACAAAGCCAGTTAATTTGCTCTCAAACCCAAGGGAAGCATAACAACCCGACTCCCCCCTCCCCTTCCAGCTTCCCCAAACCACCCAGGAAAAGAACAGCGTCAAGAAGCAAAGCTGCCCACCAGGGACCTACATGCAAAGCCAGAGGAGATTTTACGATTTTGTTTCCCGTGGAGGCAGTGACCCAGTGACTACAGCAAGCACGCACACTGCTCATCATCCTAAATAGGTAAAGAGTGAAATGGCTCAACGTACACACACCCCGCTCCATACCGGGGACGAGTCTCCGAGCTGCGGCTTGTGCTCTCGGAGGGCCAGGCTGAAGCTGACCGCCCCCACGGCCACGCTGGACACCCCTAGCCCTATCTCCAGCACGGAGAGCACCAAGAGGCTCCCAATAATCTGGCCGCTGGTGCACATCCTTCCTGGGTCATCATCCCTTCCAGATCAGAGAGGAACGCCAACCATCCACCTTCTTGTCTTCCACGATCCTCCTTACCCCTTTCCACCCCCTACCAGATCCCCAAACTTTTCTTTCTTCACCAGTGACACATTATCCACAAGGACTGGATTTCCGGAGCTGGAGACTGGTCTTCCCGGGTCTGGCGGGAGGTAGAGAAGAGGGACTCCACCTCCCGACACGTTCGTTCTGGGGGGGTCGTAGATGGATGGTCCTGGGCTGAGGGGTTGGGTGTGAGTCAAGACCGCACATCAGTAGCCCAGCGTTCAAGGATCAGAGACCTGCAGGACCCGAGGGGAGGTGGAGGGAGCCGGAGCCCCATCGCTGGCTCTTGGGGCGCTGTCCAGAGTTCTGCCGCGTCTCAGCTCTCCGCAGGGAAGTCCGCTCCCTCCTCAGCTTCCCAAACCCATCAGGTTCGCTTCTCTGAGCCAGGCTGGGGAGAGGGGCATCGCTTCCTGGGAGATGACAGCAGGAGGCCGGCTCCCAGGCTCTCTGCCTCCCCGCCTCGCCTCCTCGCCTTTGTTTTCCTGGTAAGGCAAAGTGCTTCTGAGTCCCCGGGTGCCCGGTCCCCGGCAGAGCCGAGCCGAGCCGCGCAGAGCGGCCCGATGATATTCAGCACCACGCTCCTCCTCGCCGTTGCTGTGTCGCCAGGAAAAGCGACCTTGTCTGATGGCCTCTTTCCGTCTGGGTTTTTTCTGCCTCCTCGTCCTCGTCCTCTTCCTCCCCCTCTCTCTTGATCCGATTCTCTCTCATTGCTATGACCTCATTGGGGTTTAGGTGCTTGACGGAAGAGGGAGACGCCTGGGGTATCTGTGGGTCTAGGATCCAAGACTCTTGGGTGGCTCTGGATCTGCTGCGCCCCTGGACCCTAACCATAGGAATCCAAGCAACCACCCCGCTCCCCTACCTCCACCTCGCCCCCAGGGCTCCCTTCCGGGCTCCTCTCCAGCCCGGAGGGGAGGCGATGCCTACGTCAACGCGGGCTCTGGCTGTATAAAACTTTCTTCTGCATGTACGCGGGTGTGTGGGAGAGCAGAGAGCCCAGGAAGGGAGCGCGCGCAGGGGATGCACAACAGCCACCCTCCGAGTCACCAGGACTCTAAGGACACCCGTGAAGGAAGTCTGCCCACTTGCATTCACAAAAAGGAAGACGTTTGGGCTAGAACCCCCCGCCCCCCATTTCCACAGTGATGTGGCTTCTGTCCCCCCATCCCGCCCCCACCAGCTCTGAGATCCTCGCTTCCTGAAATTCAGGCCCTTTGCCACCATCCCGAGATGCATACTCAGATGAGCATAGCTGGGCTCTCTCTCTCTCTCTCTCTCTCTCTCTCTCTCTCTCGCTCTCGCTCTCGCTCTCTCATTCAAGTGGGTCTCAAGTAGTATACTAGAGCAGAAATTGTTTAAAAAGTCTAGCTCAATGGATAACTGTGCTTGAAATCTGGTCTTGAAGAAATCGTTAAGGCAAGGAGCTGAAGCTTGCCTGGGGTATTTTGAGGCTGTCATCATCGATGCATGTGGGCATTAGATGTTTGGGAATCTCTAGGCCTGCATCCTGCTTTCATTTCCCTGATTTTACCTCAGGAGAAAATGTCAACGATAGTCAGGAGGTTGGAGGGCTTCAGGGAGGTTCTAAGGTGTGGATTATCTTTCTCAAAAGCTGAGTTCTCAGCCGGGAGCTGGTGGTTCACAACTGTAAATCCTAGCTACACAGGCTGAGATCTGAGGATCACAGTGCAAAGCCAGCCCTGACAGGAAAACCCTGAGACTTTTATCTCTAATTAACCACCACCAAACCAGTAGTAGAGATGTGGCTCAAAGTGGTAGAACACTAGACTTGAGTGAAAGAGCTCAGGGACAGCTCCCACGACTTGAGTTCGAGCCCCACCATAGACAACACAGACACACAGACACAGACAGACACACACACTCACACACACACACACAATATGAGTTCTCCAGTAAGAGATGGATTAATTGAAGGAAGTGAGAGGAAATAACTTCAAATTAAGAAGCAGTTACATAATATGAGGGCATCCTGACTTCTGAGTGTGTGCAAACTAGTTCAGAGCAGGTGCTTCTGTGATAAGAGGGTTTTTTTTCTTTTGAGAGTTTAATATTAAAAACATAAAAGCTGAATCTTATAGCCCATGTCCCATAGCATGAGTGAAATAGCAATTTAAAAAAGTGATCACAGCTGTAGCAAGAAAAGTCCATGACAATCTTATTTCCAGTTAACCACAAAATGCCAGAAGTAAAATTGTAACTCAAGTGGTAGAGTACCTGAATTAGGGGAAAAAAAGTCAGAAAGGACATTGGTCAAAAACTTTACAAACATTGGTGAAAGACATTCAAATTTTGAGACCCTAATGGATTTCAGAGTAAATATTAAAATAATTTAAGGCAGGCCAAAACTAACTTTCTAAAATCCAAAACAAAGAAAAATGGCATATTACATACAGAAAGTCATGACTTTTAATTAGAAATCATGGGAATCCGAAATATGTAGAATGATATCCTTCCAAGTTTTTAAAGCAAAATAAAATTTAGCCCATAAGTTTTTATACGCTCTTCAAGAGGAAAAATAATACGTGGGTGGAAAAAAACAATAGAATTACCAGAAATGATCAATTCTGGCTGAATGTAAAAAAAATTACACTTTCCTTGTGCCTTTCCTTACCTTATTTTCTTTATAAACCACATAGCTGAAACTCAGCTTTTAGATACCTTGCCAATAACTTTATGAGTGAGCTTGGAAATACATCCTTGCATAATAAAGTAGTGAGCAGACTACAGATCTAAGCCAACACCTTGACTGCAACATGCAGAAACTGAGATAATGACTGTTTCAAGTCATACAATTTTAGTGTCATAGAGCTTGGACTAACAGACTGACAAAGGCATGACTCAGTGACAGAATTTCAAATATGTGAGGAAAATGGATAGACACAAAGTTCTGCAGTCATACTTCAGGATTTTTTTTAACATACAATTGATAGAACAAGTTGAAAAAAATACCAAAGACATAAAAGGTTGAAAAAATACTATCAAGCCACTGTCTTAATCTGTTATTTTCTTTTAGTGCAGATTAAAAATAGCTGCCCTTTCTATTATAATAAGAATCAGATATCTACCAAGGTTCATTAAAATAAAGTGTTCTGCTGATCCTGTAGCCAGAAAGGAACATGTTTTACGTGTTTTTTCTGATTTCTGATATTCCCTTGTTCACTTTTTAAAAGTGAATGTTAAGATTATTTAACTACCATTTGCGTGATATATTTATTACCTGAGCAATCACTTGCATAACTATTAGAAAGAAATAGAAGAACAAGTTATAGGTTTTATTAGCCACAATGAGAAGTAGATGGACATATAATGGTACCATTGAAAAGGCTAGGAAAACTGACTCCAACCCTATATTTAAATTAGATTCCAACCCTATATTTAAATCCCATATATTCCCAAACTCTTCAACTTCTTCAATAAGTAAGAACACATTTTATTAAAATACCTATATTTTATAAGTTCTATCCACTACTTTAAGTTCTATGTTTTAGGCCAATAAGGAGCAAATAAAAAGTGTTTTTATATGACAGCTAATCATTCAATCATTTTAAAACTCTTGTTCCCTGTATTGAGTTCATCATTTATAGGAGCATATTCCAAGGCCTTTTGAGAGATTGTATTAAATATTCATGTCCCTAGCATTAGTGAGTCTTAACTTGCACCTGTCTTTCTAAAGTAACAGCATATATAAATAAACATTGTACAACAGGTATGTTCTGAGAAGGACAAACTAGTGGAGGTTATATCTAAATAAACATTTCTGCAAATGTTCCCTTTGCTGGTTGTAGTGATTATTTTGAGTTGTTCTGGTTCATACTTGTAACCAAAGGAAATCTTATAGTATTTTTCCTGTGGCCTTTCTTGTTCCTTCAATCTTGTACAGTGGATTTTCTTTTAACCTAAAGGCAGGTTTATCCGTTTATCACTACCTCACTTCATCTTGTTATCTTTGACCCTCTCTATTCTTTCCTACTGAGGTCTTTCTGAACCTTTCTTTGTTATTCCACATACTAGCTATTCCTTCCAGAATAGCTAGTCATATGCCCCCAAGCAACGGGCCTATTCTGACCTCATTCTTGTGCAACATTTCTAAAACTGTCATTTTTATTATCTTAGGCATTTTTAACAAGTGTCTGCTCATTTATGACTCTTTTCTGTCGCTGTGTTTCTAGATTCCTGTCACTCCTGGGTTTATTATTGTTTACTATATCTCACATTTCAGCTCTTACTAATTCCATCAAAATGCATGCTTTTTTTGTAGTATCTAGGTGGGCACAAGATGTAATACATTATAATAATTATCTTTCCTCAAACAGATAATTTATTATCATAGTTATAATTTTGGTTCTGACAGGGGTTGAAGGTACTAAAATGAGCATGAAAGACTCCATCTCACGCATGTGACTCCATGTTAAAAAGGAAACTTACAAGTGCTGAATTGTGTAGAAGGTCTCCAAGAAACAAACTGTGATCCCCTGGGTCAAGATAAGACCAATGTGGGTTTGGTAGGCTGAATCATAACCACTCTTTTCCTGCTTTATACATCCTTGTCCTGTTTTTCACACTCTGGTGAAATGGGGCTCCTCAGAAGATGGGTTCAATAGCACAAAAGAACAATGGAGGCACACTTTTAGCCCCTTGCTCAATATTTTCTCTGAAACAAGACACCCAACCAATGTCAAGGTTCCAAGCACTTCCAAATATGCAGTAGAGAAAGAGGAGACTCACGAACCAAAACATCATCTTTTTTTTTTAATCTAAAAAGTGGAAGAGAAATTTTATTTATGTAAGACAATATTGACAAAGAAAAATTAGCAAAAATTACACATTAAGATAAAGTGATTCATTTCCTTCCAAGACAGTCATCATATTGTCCGTGAATTAAAAAATAAAGCTT